TGAAAACTTATAGAAACAAAGGTATTTAAGTGGCAGCCAGATATGAGGCATCCTTTGTGTTGTGGCAACCTCACACAAGAATGTTCCTGTTGGGGAACATTCAGTCACCTAACTGCAAGGATTTCTTCTCTCCTCTTTTCTGCCCTAAAAGTAACCATATTTTATTCCAAATATGAAGGTTCTTCCTTCTCCCCCATTTGAAGTTCCCCAGTTACTTTCAATTTTTTTTTTTTTCGTTTATTTTTTCCATGAGCAAGAGTAAGGAGAGAGAGAGAGAACCCCTAACAGGTTTGCTATGCTATGACCTACCCCCAGATTCAAAAAGCCTCAGGTTGTGGGCATGCATAAGCCCAGAGTGTTCAGAAAAGTCTCTAGAGGGCCAGTAAGTGGCATAATGGTTAAGGTGCTGGACTCCCACATGGTCAACTACAGTTCAAGTACCAGATCCAGTGGCTTGAAATCATGCCAGGCACATGTGCATGTATGCCCAAAATCCTGAGATGAGAATGGATAGAAGGGATTATAGTGTGGCCATCCTCAGAAGGGAGGAGGGTGAGATTCCTCACCTTCCCTTTCTCTGTCTCTCTCCAGTGAATGCACATGCTCTATGGCAAAAACCTTAAAAAATAAATAAATAAAAAAGTCTCTGTATACAAACCCAGAACCTTCCCACATGGGTCAACCTCACAAAGCTTTGTGTTAATACTACATCACCATACTGTCTCCTGCTTTCATTTTTTAAAGTAATATGAAAAAGGTTATAAGACCCAGGGATTCTTTGTGTCATGGTTTATACTTAGTACAGTACATAGTCAATGGACTGGTGAATTGACATAGGACCTTAAGTTAGCAGGATTCTTATCTAAGTTCAGGAACTATATAACCTTTTGGCAATTTTTTAATTGCCAAAGGGCACACGTAACTTGACCAGAAAAAGACTTAGAGTCAGAGAGAGGGAGAAGAAGAAAGCATAGGATGTGGCCACACTGCAGTTGCTTCTCCCTTGTATCTGCATCCTGCTGGGATTTTGGGCACACAAGCATCTGTACCTGGTGTGTCTCTCAAGCCACAAGGGCTAAGATTCAAATTGTGGTCAGCCGTGTACATGCCAGCTCACTTAATGACTAGCTCATAGGGTCAGCCCCCTTTTGACAATTTAACAACCTTTTTTGTGCCTGAGTTTCATCTTTAAAATGGAGACTATAACACCTGTTCACTCTTCCTGACTGGAGAAGACCATAAGATGCATAGGAGGGATCAGCAGTTAGCATAATGGCTATGTTGCTGAACTCCCATGTAGTCAACCGCTGCTCGAGTCCCAGATCCGGTGGCTTAAACTCATGCTGGGTGCATGTGCGTGTGTGCCCAAGATTCCAAGAGGAGAATGGAGGAGAAGGGATTACGGTGTGGCCATCCCCTCTGGTGGGTGATTTCTCACTTTCTATCTCTCTGTGTCTCTGTCTTTCTGGCGAGCACATGCGCCCTAGAGCAAAAACCTCTCAAAAAAAAAAAAAAAAAAAAAAAAAAAAGCATAAGCAAGAATGTGGGACGGACAGCAGACAACAAAAGGAAATATAAATGTTATATATTATAGTTTTAGTTACCTATGTTCTCTACCCTAGAAGACATATCAGTCTTGACAAAAAACATCTCCCCTCCCTTTCATTTATTGTCACTGACCCAATTTTTTGGTGCATGTTACTTTATTCCCTTTTGCTCTCTCTGATTCCTCTTACCACCACCTTCTAGCCAGCTGGCTAGGCTGTCAGCATGGAAACACAGCAGAACCTACCGATGGCAAAGATGGCCGCCTGTGCAAAGTCAGCAGACACATCGGTGCAATACCCTCGAAGCTCCTCTAGCACCTGCTGCACATTCTCATCGTTGACCAGCTCACACAGCACCTCTACCTTCTGTAGCTTGATGTAGTGGGGCTCCGAATAGGAGCAAAAGAATTTTTTGTAGTGGCTACTAAAGTGACTGGGCAAACTATGTAATATCTGGCGCACATGACAGAGAGCAGCAAAGCAGAGCTCGCGGCTCTCTGAAGAACAGGCAGCTAACAAAGGTCCCTTGACTCGTACAAGCACATCGGTTTGTACATGGGGGAACTTTTTCGCCATGATCAGAAAGAGTTTAGTGGCTCCCATCACCACACCTGGGCTACTGCTCTTAAGAAAACTGTCCAATAGGTTGAGAATGTCAAATAGTTCCTCCTCACTGCGGGGCTGGTAGCGGAGCAAAAAGTTCAGTACTTCAGCCTGGCCCCACTGATCCAGTTTTGTCATTCTATCAAAACAGGAAAAACAAAAGCACTGTTTTAGCTACAAAATTAGGACCATCTCCATGCCATGTTACCAGTCGGCTGTTTAGCATAATAAAGGGAGAATTCTTAAAAATATACTATGCCATAATTGAATCATTCTATTTAAAGTTTACACAAAATAGGTTTTAAATTTCAAGATAAGTTGACAGCACAAATGTACATCTCTATAAGGCTGAAGATAGGATTAATATAGATTCTCTACATACTAAGGCACCATAAATAGATTAGTTTGGGGGACATAAAGATTGTAGAGGAGGGTATATCCCCCTAGAGGGATATTTCTGCCATCTCTCTATACTGATGAGAAACTAAAGCAAATAAAATAAATTTTCTCAGTGCAGTGTGAGAAACTAATAATTATGATTAACTTTCTTTTCTACCCTATAGAAGTTGTTCAAGACTTCTTAATTAAGCACAGCAACAAAATTCTACCAGGATTTAGCTCTCATAATAAAAAGAACACTGAGACATACAAACCGATTTAAGAGATGGTGGGCAATGGGCTTGTTGATGACAACACCTCCTTCCTGTTTCAGAATTTCCTCTAGAGACCTCAGGCAGTTCACAACCACAATTGGGTCCTGGTCACGCAGCAAACTATATAACTCATTTACCAGGGCACCATCTAAAAAAAAAGAACAAAGATCTCAGATATAGGAGAAAGGCTTCAGAGTCACAGGAATAAATCCTGAGTAACAGCTCCATGCAAAGGAAGCTGCTTCCCCACTATAAAAATCACAAAGGCAGTAGCAAAGCGTAAGGCAAAACAACTGCCATCTCCAGACTGTTCTGAGTAGCTAATATCAAGAATCTCACTGCAGCCCCATAGGAAGAACTTCTCTAATCTCAAAAAATGCCAAGTCCTGCAACTTAGTTAAAGAGGTATGTTCAAAAGTGGAACCACATTCTTTACTACTGAAGCTACATAACCTTTTACAAAGTCACACACTTAATGTAGGCACAAGTAAATATCAATCATGATGGATTACATTGAACTTACCCACTTCGGAGTCTTCATGAAGATTATGCATCTTTGCACAGCCAAGGACAGCCACCCTCCTGACATATGAAGCCTTATCCCGCAGACCATTGAGAATAGGCTGTTGGATATATTCCTGCACACCAGGCATCCTAAGCAATACATCCTGGAGTCAGCCAGGTCCTGAAAGACTAGTGCTGACATAATTCAACCCCTCTCTACCTAATAGAGAGGTAAACAGATATTTGAATGTGCATCTGTCAGATCATGAAGAAGTGGAGAATGCCTCTACCAAACTAAAAAAGCCATAATTTGACTTTATATTTGGAAAAATGCTGCACAAGCAGCAAAAAAAGATATATCCATCATTGTTTAGAAATTTTTAACCAAAACTGGGGCAGACAGGTGGCAATGGTGGTTAAGGGCGCTGGACTCCCACACGGTCAACTGTGGTTTGAGTACTGGACATGGTGGCTTGCTTTCTCACTTCCCTCTCTCTTTCACTGTGTTCTTCTCTGGTCAAATTAAAATAAAAAATAGATAAATAAAGATAAATTTTTATTTATTTATTTTTAAAAGGAATATTTTAAAGGATTATTTTATTTGACTTTATTTATTTATTTTTGTTTTTGACCAGAGACGGGGAGAAAGAGAGAGAAAGTGAGAAAGCAAGCTGCCAGGTCGAAGACTCGAACCGCAGTCAGCCATGTGGGAGTCTGGCGCCTTTAACCATCATGCCACCTGCCAGCCCTGAGATAAAAATTTTAAAAAATTATAAAAATAAAAAAAATTTAATCAAAACTGAGGACTACTTTACCAAGAGTTACGATGGAAATTTTCCTTTTATAAAACCATATGACAAAAACAAAACAAAACAAAAAAACCATATGACATAGCTTATTAAGCCAAAGTATATCTGAGTTCAGGAAAAAATAAATTATCCTCATTAAAAATCTGTCCCAGGGACCAGCAGTTAGTGTAATGGCTATGTCACTGGACTCCCATGTAGTCGACCGCGGTTCGTGTCCCAGACCCGGTGGCTTAAAACTCACGCTGGGCGTGTGTGCCTGCGTGCCCAAGATCCCGAGAGGAGAATAGAGGAGAAGGGATTGCGGCGTGACCATCCCCCCTGGGGGGTGATTTCTCGCTTTCTCTCTGTCTCTCTCTGTCTGTCTGGCGAGCGCACGCACCCTATAGCAAAAACCTCTCAAAAAAAAAAAAAAATCTGTCCCATATATCCTGAATTCACCAGCTACTGAGGACCAAGCTAAAAAGAGGTTGCTCACCTGAGGCTACACATGCTCCGTAGGGCCAGCCCTCGCACCATCGGATTGGGATCCGAGCAGTCTTTGCACAATGTATTGATGGCCAGAAGAGCCAGATCTGGTTTCAGGGGGGCATATGTGCACATGTACAGATACACCAACTTCTTCTGAACAATATCTACAGTGGCACTGGCCTTCACCATTTCCATGAAAACACCAGACATGTCCAAACCCTGAGTCATGTGCCTGAAACCAACAAACACAACAGAAAGTAAAACAGAAAATCCTCAACCTACAGAGAGGAAGTTTTACTCAGACATATCCTGCTTATCCAACTATTAGGTTGTCGGGAAAGTCATGTCATATTTTCTGTTTTTCTATGCAAAAATGCAACACAACTTTCCCGATGACCCAATGTATTGTGATCTCTTAAAGGGAAGCAACCAGGTCTGCTCCATCGATCACACAATACTTCTCACCATGGGCTTGTAGTAAGCATTGTTCTCCTATTCATTCAACAACACTTAACTGAATCTCTAAAATATTCCAGTGAAATTCAACACTTACATGTTCTGTGGACATCATTTTGAAGGCATGACCTCAGGCCTCTAAGAACTCAAAGTCCAGCTAGACAAGAAAACCACTAATTACAGTATGAGAGATAAGTATCTAAATTGAGGCAATGTACAAGGTACAGAGGGAATCCACAGGTCTAACACTACCAAGAAGTCAGAAAATGCTTCTTCGCGGAGGAAGCAATACTTTAGCTGAATGAGCAAGAGCTCACCGCCCGGACATGATAGAGAGGCAATGACACATGCTATGTGATATGCAATCATGAGCAACAATGGAAAATCCTTTTGCATGTAGTTGCATTACCAGGGTGTTTCTTGGGCTCCGTGATAACAAGCTTGGGCTTTATTTTGCAGCTCAGTTTCTCAAACTGATGTCCTTCTGGAATCAGTTGAGGTGTTAAAAATAGAATCTTGAGTTCCATCCCACCCTACTGAAATCAAAAGCAATCACTGGATTGGATGAAAAGTCTGCCTTCTTAAAAAAAGCACCCCAAGAGACTTCCGTGCATACTGAAGTTTGTGAACTACAGCTGTAGGCAAGAATTAAGTGTTCTGATTTGTCCACTGGAAATATTCTAAAATGAAGAGGCAAGGTGACCTACAGAACCTACTCCAATTTCTTTGGTAATGAAGGCTTTAAGCAGAACAGCGGCAGCGCCAGTAAAAAAGAGAAGATGGATGTTTAGAATTATGAATTCATACCATCTGACAAGTGAAGGATCAAATGTCATTATGGTTGCTTCTCACACTTAGCTGGGTAGCTGGTGACATTCATCAACACAAATATAAGCGGAAGAGCAGGTTGGGGAGAAGGGGAATGCCAGTGCTATTTCGGATATGCCTTTGATGTGCTACCCAGGTGAAAATGCCAAGCAGGCAGTGGGTCTGAAGCTAAAAAGGGAGGCCTGTACTACAGATCCAGGAATCACCAGTGTCAGTGTAACTGTTCAAACCCAAAATATGAAGACCCCCAGCTGAATAAAAGATGTCCCACAAAGTAAGACTGAGATTGCACGCTGGAGAAGCAGGATGAAGGTCAAATCATACAACTGCCACGCAAGTTAATTTACTTTTCCAAAACAGCGGGGCATCGCGGGTTTGGGGGGCAGTTAGGACGCTAAGGAGCAGGTGATACCTAATCACTCGCTGGATGACATTCCGGTAGCGCAGCCTATCGGTCTGAATGTGAGGGTTACACAGAGCCTTCTTCAGCTCCTTCACCACGTCCTCGGAGCCAAGGTACGGCATCTTCTGAACAGTCACGGGCAGCTCCCACAGATCCCTAGGACCTCGTGGGCGCTTCCTCGTCCTGAGTGGAAGCCTGAGTAAAGGAAATGTCGGTCAGCGAAAAGACTAAAGGCGTGATCTCGCCCAGCCTTGGCTTCCCCAGGGTCGGAACACTCACACTCCAACCCCAGGGGTTCCCAGGCGAGCCTCTCCCAGGCCGCCCAGGCCCGACCGGGACCTGCAGGCCGTTCGCTCCGCCCACAGACTTCTCCGCTTCCTCCCGGCCCTCCGCCCGACTCCAACCCGGCGGCCGCAGAAGGGGACACCCCTTCCTCTGCCTCACCCTT